ATATGTAATTACATAATTCAATGCGTCCTTAAATAGCACTCTGTTTTACTGTGTTAGAACAAAGAAATGAAATCAAAGGGTTTTTATTTTAACAGATAAAATGATATACTGCTGTGCACTAGTATATAATTAGACTGTGGTATACATGTCTCTACAATATGCCTATATTCTTTAAGGTAATAAATTCTTAGTGCTTCAAAATATAAACTTCCAAAGGTGAGAACTTATTTATATTCCAGGCATGAAATACTTGCCTGAGACTTCCTAATTATATAGCACTGTCTTCCAAAAGAGACCACATATACCCATACATGGGAATTTACTATACATTAAAATCATGTGCAGCCAGAGTTGTTAGGTAAAGCCACCCCCTATGACACCAGAGCCCCATATGGGTCCAGTTTGTGTCCCAGCTGCTCCACTTATAATCCTGCTCCCTGCTATGGCCTAGGAAAAGCAGAAGATTGCCCAAGTATTTGGGTTCCTGCCACCCACACTGGAGTCCTGGATGAAGCTCCTGGCTGCGGCCTGGCCCAGCCCTGGCTGGAGTGAACCAGCAGATGGAAGATATCTGTCTCTCCTCTATTACTTTCAAATAAATATTTTAAAAAATGTCATTGAGAGCCGGCGCCGTGGCTCAATAGGCTAATCCTCCACCTTGCAGCGCCGGCACACCGGGTTCTAGTCCCAGTCGGGGCGCCGGATTCTGTCCCGGTTGCCCCTCTTCCAGGCCAGCTCTCTGCTATGGCCAGGGAGTGCAGTGGAGGATGGCCCAGGTGCTTGGGCCCTGCACCCCATGGGAGACCAGGAAAAGCACCTGGATCCTGGCTCCTGCCATCGGATCAGCGCGGTGCGCCGGCTGCAGCGGCGGCCATTGGAGGGTGAACCAACGGCAAAGGAAGACCTTTCTCTCTCTGTCTCTCTCTCTCACTGTCCACTCTGCCTGTCAAAAATAAAAATAAATAAATAAATAAATAAATAAATAAATGTCATTGAGGCACGCATTGTGCTACAGCGAGTTACGCCACCACTTGGGACTCCCGCATCCCACATAAGAATGCTTAGTTCAAGTCCGAGCTGCTCTACTTCTGATCCAGGATGCGGCTAATGCACACCCTGGAAGGCAGCAGATGATGGAAGTACTTGAGTCTCTACCACCCACACCAGAGAACACGAATGGCATTCCAGGCTCCCAGCTTCAGCATGGACCAACTCTGGCTGCTGTGGGAATTTAGGAGTGAACCAGTAGATGGGGGAGAGGGGGAGAGGGAGAGAAAGAAGGAGAGGACGAGGGGGAGAATAGGGGGAGAGAGAGAAGGGAAAGGGGGGGGAGGAAGAGGAAGAAGGGAGGCAGAGGGAGAGAGCGGAGACTTCCTTCCCTCCATCTTTCTCTCCCCCTCCCTGTTGCTCTCTCAAATAAATAAATGTTTAAAAAAATGGCGTTGTGGCTGGCATTGTGGCACAGTGGGTGAAGCCGCCACCTGTGATGCCAGCATCCCATGGGCACTGTTTGTCTCCCAGTTCCTCCATTTCCAATCCAGCTCCCTGCTAGTGGCCTAGGAAAGCAGTAGATGATAGCCCAACTACCTGGGCCCCTGCCACCCATGTGGGAGACCCAAAAGAAAACTCCTAACTCCTGGCTTCAGCCCGGCCTGCTGCTGGCTGTTGCGACCACCTGGGAAGTGAGTGAACTAGCGGAAGGAAGATCTCTCGATCTCTCTCTGTAACTGACTTTGAAAATAAATAAATCTTTTTTTTAAAAATGGTATCATTTCAAAGTGTTCAAAGAAATTATCTGTCATATCTCCATAACCATGGGGGGAACAAAGTAGTATACTGTCTCACACCTCCAGATATACCAAGATTCAAATGTGAAAAATGAAAACAGCAAAGAACTGGAAGAAATCCTAAATAAAATGCTTTTCATGGCCTTCAGACTGGCCAAAAGACTGTAAGAAGCTCTCCCAAATAAGTCAAGAGACTCCATTTTCAAGGATTTATGAACAAGCAAATCATAATTAAAGAAATAAAAATAATCAATATAGTAAAACATTCTCAACCTTGCTTATGATGAAAAAAATACAAATGAAAATGCAAAAGTAAGGCACTGGGGTCGGCGCTGTGGCATAGCAGGTATAGCCCCCACCTGCAGTGCCGGCATCCCACATGGGTGCCGGTTCAAGTCCTGGCTGTTCCACTTCAGATCCAGCTCCCTGCTATGTTCTGGGAAAGCAGAAGATGGCCCAAGTCCTTGGGCCCTGCACCCGTGTGGGAGACCCCAAAGAGGCTCCAGGCTCCTAGCTTCAGATCGGCGCAGCTCTGGCCATTGCAGCCATTTGGGGAGTGGATGGAAGACACCTCTCTCCCTCCCTCCCTCTGCCTCTAATTCTGCCTTTCAAATAAATAAATCCTTTTTAAAAAAAAGTAACATCTTTTATCTTTCAGATTTTCACGGATATCTAAAAATACCTCCTCGGTGTAGGCAAACAGATTACTTCGTATACTCCTAGAGGAGGACTCTAAATTGGTAGAGTGGGTTTTATAGAGGTATTGTCCAATCTCTATCAATGTCTGAATCCACATTCACTTTCAGTCAGCAATTCCACAACTTGCAAGTTTATTCCATGGATATTCTCACTCAAGTGCAAAAGCGTATTCACCAAACCACTGTTCAGTATCATGCAAAATCTGCAAACAACCTAAATGACCACCAGTAGGGAATTAGTTAAATATGTAACGGTCATCCATGAAGTAAAACTATGCAGCTATTCAATGTAGATTATATGTCGATAAGGACAGATATCCAAGATATAAAAGGAAAAAAGGCCAATGTCTAGTAAAAGATGACATCAATAAAAAAATTCATATATAAGCCAGCATATAGATAAAACTTTCCTACAAGGACATCCTAGAATTGTTCACCATGAGTTGCAGAGAGGCAGAGAGAGAGAGAGAGAGGTCTTCCATCTACTGCTTCATTCCCAAATGGCTGCAACGGATGGAGTGGAGCTGATCTGAAGCCAGGAGCTTCTTGTGGGTCTCCCACATGGTTGCAGGGCCCAAGGACTTGAGCCATCCTCCACTACTTTCCCAGGCCATCAGCAGAAAGCTGGATCAGAAGTGAAACAGCCGGGACTTGAACCAGCACCCATACGGGATGCCAATACTGCAGGCGGCAGCTCTACATGCTACACCAAAGCTCCAGCTCCACTTTTATTTTTTCACAAAGGCTTTTTAAGTTGAGATTTGGCTTGGATATCAGTCTCCTACTTTTTCATTATTCCAATATTAGTTCAAGCTCGGCATCTGAAGATGGCAGACGTTATACCTCATTCCCATCATCTTTTCCCTTGGCCTTACTCTGTGCCAATGGCAAATACAACCAAGCCAATTCACCACAAGGAGTGTCAGAATCCCTAATAGAAATCCCTAACTTGCAAAAAAATAAAAAAATAAAAATAAATAAAAATAAAAAAAAAGAAATCCCTAACTTGCTCAACTGTTATGTGGGCCAAGATTTGAAACTGGACAAACTTCAGCTACAGGTCACAGGCAATGCTAGCAGTAAGGATATAAAACAAGTGCATAGCATGGGCTTTGAGAAACAGAGTTCGAAGCCAATTATAGATTAGTTGATAAACAGAAAAAATAACCAACCCCCTTCCCTCTAATCCCAGTAGGTGAAGAATTAATCAATCGGGACTGTAAAGAAAACATCTTTAGGAGAAAGGTAGAATGCCTTTAAATAAATTAGTTGACCACTGAGTAGAGGAGGAAAGTTCCTGACTAGTGGAAAGAAAAGAACAGTTTGATAGGAAATACACTAACAAATAAGCATTCTTCAAAGTTTTCACCTTTCCAAAGGCAGTATCAGGCAACAAGCCTTTTTGGTCTGTTCCCTCAAATCTTCACACCCATGTCCTTCTACCAGATTACAATTGAAGTAGGCTCTACTACTAAGCTTGACATTTTATAAGGACTCTTCATTTATTTCTCGGCTAAAATCAATTCTGAAAACAGAAATATTCCATTTAAACTTGGCCTCAGGTTTTTCAATGCTCTCACCACAAAGAAATGATAAAAGTCCTTGGTAATGGATATGTCAATTACTCTGATTTGATCATTATGCATGTATCAAATCACCACACTGTATCCCATAAATATATACAATTATTATATGTCAATTAAAAAAAAAAGCCAGGGGCTGGTGTCCTGGTATAATGGGTTAAGCCACCACCTGAGATGCCTGCATCCCATATGGGCGCCAGTTCCAAGTTCCGGCTGCTCCACCTCTGATCCAGCTCTCTGCTACTGCTAATACATCTGAGAAAGCAGCAACAGACGGCCCAATTGCTTGGGCCTTTGCACTCACATGGGAGACCTGGAAGAAGTTCCTGGCTCCTGGCTTTGGTCTGTCCATTATAGCCATTTGGGAAGTGAACTAGCAGAAGGAAGATCTATCCCCCGCTGCCTGTCTCCTGCCCCGTTTCTCCCTGTCACTTTGGTTCCAAATAAATAAACTTTAAAATTTAAAAAAAAACTGGCCTCAATTTATGAATATGGATAGGACATCTGCAAAATTACTAGTTCTTAAAAAAAGGATTCAATGATGGATAATTAACTATTTCTAAGCACAGTATCTAAGCTTACTGTTTGAGATATATGGAATACACAAAAGAGAGCTATCATAGTATATACAAGACTAAAGTTCTGAGTAAAAGGAAGAAGGAAAAAAATCTAACATGACTAATTACTGTGTACCAGGAACTCATCTCAAATATGTTATTTAGTTTACACTTAGAATTCTGATAGTGAGAATACCCCATTACAGAGAAGAAGAAACTAGGGAGTAGTATAGGGCAAACAGCTCCATTTATTGAATCTGTATGCAGGCAGATGCTTCTATAGGGGATGCCCTAAAGAACCACATTTAAAGTTAATCATGGGACGGGTAAGTGACACAATGCCACTTAGGACACCCATATCCCATACCGAAGTACCTGGATTTGAGTCAGAGTTCCACCACTTCGAATCCAACATTTCTGCTAAAGCACACCCTGGGAGGCAGTAGATGATGACTCGAGTACTGGGGTTCCTGCCACCCACGTGGATGACCTAGAAGAAATTCCAGGTTCCTTGCTTTGGCCTGGTGCAGCCCTAGCTGTTGCAGGCATCTGAGGAGTGAACCAGCAGACAGATCTGTGTGTCTCTGCCTTTCAAATAAAATGAAAATTAAAAAAATTTAAAAAAATAAAGGAATAAACATTTTTAAAAAATAAAGTTAATCACGAGGAATATCCAAATGTTTATCCATAAATAAACAAAATGTGGTTTATGTAAACCATAAACTATTATTGAGCCTTAAAAATTAAGGAAATTCTGACACATGCTATAACACAGATGAACTTTGAAGACATAATGCTAAATAAAAGAAGCCAGACATCTAAGGACAAGTATTGTGCCATTCCTCTTACATAAGGTACCTACAGCAGTTAGAGACAGAATACCAGGGACAGGTATTTGGCAGAATGGTGAAGACACTATTGGGATGCCTACATTGCATATTGGAGTGCCTGAGTTTGAATCTTAGTTTTATAATCCAGCTTTCTAGTGCACACCCTGAGAGGTAGAAGGTGATGACTCAAGTAGTTGGGTCCCTGTCACCCACATGCAACACCCAGATTAAGCTCTAGGTTTCTGACTTCAGCCCAGCCCAGCCCAGCCCCAGCTGTTCTGAGTATTTAGGGAGTGAATAAGCAAACAGATCTCTCTTTTTTTGCCTTTCAAATAAATGAGATAAATAAAATTTAAAAAATAAAGCAGAGTACCAGTGGTAGCCAAGGGGCTCGGAGGAGGGAGAAATGTAGTTGTTTAAATGCATACACTTCCAGCTTAAGAAAACAAAAAAGATCTGGAGATGTATGGTGGTGAGGGTTGCACAACAAGTGAACATACTTACTGCTACTGAATTATATGTCTAAAAATGGTTAAATGACAAATTTTACATTAGGTATATTTTACTGCAGGCAAGCACATACACAATACATATCAAAATAATCATGCTAGGGGCTGGCACTGTGGCTTAGTGGGTAAAGCTGCCGCCTGCAGCACCAGTATCCTGTATGGTCGCCAGTTCGAGTCCCGGCCGCTCCATTTTTTTTCTTTTAAGACTTATTTCAATTATTTGAAAGACAGAGTTACAGAGAGAGGCAGAGACAGAGAGAAGTCTTCCATTCGATGGTTCACTCCCCAGATGGCCGCAACGGCCGGAGCTGCACCGATCCGAAGCCAGGAGCCAGGAGCTTCTTCCGGGTCTCCCACATGGGTGCAGGGGCCCAAGGCCTCTCCTTCTCTAACTCTTTCAAATAAATAAATCAATCTTTAAAAAAAAAAAAGAATCATGTTGAACATGCTGTTTAGAATGTTCTTCCAATCTTTAGCAAATAAAAAGCATAACTCGTGCTTGCTTCGGCAGCACATATACTAAAATTGGAATGATACAGAGAAGATTAGCATGGCCCATGAGCAAGGATGACACGTAAATTCGTGAAGCATTCCATATTTAAAAAAAAGTGTAACTCTACAGTGGTTGCTAAGATTACTGAATTATTCCATTAGCAAAATGAAACAGTTGAATCGATAATTAGGATGCCACAATCTTTTTTTTTTTGAAGAATTATTTATTTACTTTAAAGTTAGAGTTACAGAGAGAGAAGGAGAGGGAAAGAAAGAGGTCTTCCATCTGCTGGTTCACTCCAGTTGGCCACAACAGCCAGAGCTGCACTGATCTGAAGCCAGGAGCTTCTTCCCGGTCTCCCACGTGGGTGCAGGGGCCCCAGGACCCAGGCCATCTTCTATTGCTTTCCCAGGCCATAGCGGATAGCTGGATCGGAAGTGGAGCAGATGGGACTCGAACCGGCACCCACATGGGATGCTGGCACTACAGGCAGCGGCTTTATCCACCATGCCACAGCACCAGCCCCAGGATGGTACATTCTTAAGAAGCCTATTCTCTTCCAGAAAAGGAAGCAAAGAAAAAAGCAGACCCCACTGGGGGCAGTGGTTCTCTAAGTATGGTTTGTGAACTCTTCCAAATAGTCTACAAGGCTGAAAACTATTTTCAAAATAACACTAAAATGTTATTGGCCTTTTTCAGTGTCAACAACTGCACTGCTGGTGCTAAGGCTGTAATGAGTTAATACTGCTGGCTCCTGGGTCCTTTGCAGTGGCACTAAACTACACTAGAAGTCATGGTCTTTGTCACCACCATACACTCACAGGGGAGAAAAAAAAGCCATTTTCACTTAAAAATGCCCTTGATGAAGCTATGAAAATTATTAATTATATTAAATCTCAACCCACTGAGTACACATCTTTTAACTCCATGGGAAGACAGAGAAGTACACACAGAGCACTTCTGCTACACACCAAAGCATGCTGGTGGTCTTCAGGAAAAACATGACCACAGCTGCTTGAATCAGGAACTGAACTAGAAACTCTTTCCATGAAACTTCGTTTCTTTTGTTTGTTTGTTTTAAAGACAAACTATGATTGTTTGCTCAGACTTGGCTATTTGGCAAACATTTTCTCCAAAATATAAGAAGAGAGTCTGTCACTTCAAGGCAAACAGCCAAAACAATTCACTGTCAATGATACAATTCGAGCTTTCAAGCAAAAAACAGAATTTTTGAAAACTATCTGCTACCATGTTTGACAGCTTCCCAATTCTTAAAAAGACCTCTCTGATGTGATCAGTGGTGATTTATTAGCTGTGTTTATGTAATTTTTTTAAAAGAGAAAGGTCTTCCTTCCGTTGGTTCACCCCCCAAATGGCCACTACGGCCGGTGCTGCGCCGATCTGAAGCCAGGAGCCAGGTGCTTCTTCCTGGTCTCCCAGGTGGGTGTAGGAGCCCAAGCACTGGGGCCATCCTCCACTGTCTTCCCAGGCCACAGCAGAAAGCTGGACTGGAAGAGGAGCAGCCAGGACTAGAACTGGTGCCCATATGGGATGCCGACACTGCAGGCGGAGGATTAATCAAGTGAGCCCCGGCGCCGGTCCCTATATAATTTTTATAATGAAATCTGTCAACACTTAAAAGAGTAACACAATTCAGTAAACTAGTATTTTCCAAATGACTAATAGATATTACAAAATGTTGCATAAGAAAAAAGATCCTTTAAAAGATGCAAGACAGACCAATAGAATCAAAGAATTTCCACATTTAAAAAGACCACTCCCTATTCAAAATACATACAGGTGTGAGCCATGTTGTCTTCATATACTTTAACTAAATTGGTAAATTACAGGAGACTGATTGCAGAAGCAGTCAAAAAGATTTACCAGTCTTCTAGTAAGCCATTCATTAAAGAGATGGACAAACATGTTTAAAAAAAAAAAAAAACACTTTTCTAATAAACTTTTATTCTGGAAACCAGTTATTTTTAATTTTATCACTCAACTATATTTTTCCTGCTTCAATTTCATTGCTTAATATCTTTACCATCCCAGTGCCTTCTGGTTCTTATCTTCTTGGTGCACACAATATCCTTATCTTTCTTTGGATTTTCTGCATGTCTCTTGGCATCTCAAGTTATTCTGCTCAGATTCACTCTCCAAAGTGTTTCTTCCAGACCGAATATTAATCTTTCTGGATCTCAAACACATCAAGTCTCAACTTCCTGTTCCTCCTTTCTGGTTCTTCATGGGGACTGTTAACATGCATGGTAGGCAGCTTGTGACATGGGCCCCAAAAATATCAATGATCCTCTAGGTATTTACAACCTTGTATTATCCCCTCCCCTTGAATGTGGGCTGAACCTAGTGACCATCTTCTAATGGAGAATTCAGAAAGTGCGGGGATATCACTGTGACTTCCTTCTCTCTCACATTGGCATTCTCTCTTTTACTGGCTCTGATGAAGCCAGCTGCATGTTGTGAGATGTATTTGGAAAGGCCCTTGTGGCAAGGAACCAAGGAAGGTCTCAGGCCAACAATTAATGAGGAACTGGGGCCTCAGTCCAACCACCCATGATGAACTAAATCCTTCCAACAACCACCAAGTGAGTTAGGAAGTAGGTCCTTCTCAGTCAAGCCTTCAGATGACTGTGGTCTATGAAAGACCCTGAAGTGGAGGATCCAGCAAACCATACTCAGATTCCTAATCTATATTACCTGTGAAATCATAAATGTTTCAAAGTCACTAAGTTCCAGGGTAATTTGTTACATAGCAATGGAAAACTAGTGCAATCAATTTTTTTATTTTATAATTTTATAACCCACATGAACAAAAGCTACTTGAGATTCTCAGGAATTTTTAACTACGTAAAATGAGTCCCAAATCAAAAAGTTTGAGAATTGCTGTCCTGGTTGCAGCAGAAACAATGATGGAGAGAGACTAGAAGGCCAGCTCATTTAAATCATGATCAGAGAGGGGGCCGTATCTTTGCACCAATAACCAGGCAGATCCATCTCCAGAGCATAAGCCCTGTGCCCAGGTGGGAGAGGAAGAAGAGTGTCACTTCCCATAGCTCAACTACACTAAACAAAATTAAAAAATAAAAAACTACAGCTAACAAGCAGGCATCTTTCTCCCCCTTTTCGTTAAAATGGCAAGTGCATCAACCAGTGTAACCCAAATCCCAAATGGGTGGTGAGGGACAAATGGTATGAACATTTTCCCTTGGCTTTCCTTGCTCTGACTCATTCAGAAGTCTCTGTATTTTATCTACTTCCTCACTTAATCCTCAGAACTATCTTATACATAGGTGTGATGGACCAACTACCTTGATGACAAGGTAATTTTAAGCACTGTACTATGTCCACAGTCCTGGAAAGCAGTGACCGAATTCTTATCTTTCTCTGTAACAGTCCAAAGGTTATGTTAAAAGGAAACAAGTGTGTTGGGGCCGGCGCTGTAGCGGAGTGGGTAAAGCCACTACTTGCAGTGCCGGCATCCCATATGGACGCTGGTTTGAGTACCGGCTGCTCCAAGGATGGGCATGGGAGACCTGGAAGAAGCTCCTGGCTCCTAGCTTCGGATCAGCCCAGCTCTGGTCATTCTGGCCATCTGAGGAGTGAACCAGTGGATTGAAGACCTCTCTCTCTCTCTGCCTCTGCCTCTCTGTAACTCTGCCTTCCAAGAAAATAAGTAAATCTTTAAAAGAAAGAAACAAGCACAACTGAGTATTTAAAAAACCACCGAATTGTATACTT